GTCATCAATTTATACTTGAATATATGTTTGATGTGTTCATTTTAACTCATGTTTCATATGTTTCCTGTTTTCTACCTATATATTCGTGATAGACATCCAAAAGACATCAAAGTTTAAAGCAAGAGAAAGGAAAAACTTGTATAGTTAATGATGAAGTTCCTCCAAGTATTGATCAGGTATTAAATAAGATACAATTCTTCAACACTCATGATCAGATGATATAATATGGGATGCCCTTTCAATATAAGAAAAATTTGACCCAAAAGTCATGAATTTCCCATACTCACGTAGTTAGGGATGTACTTCCACCATCATTTATAATTTCAAGGTTTGGAACACTTTTTATGTTAGAATTTTCGTTTAATGAAGATTTTATTCAAACCTGGAAGTCACATAACTTGGTCGTCATACACTAAGGTTAATAAGACCAAGATCAAAATCACACATGGAGATTGGTTGAGTTTGACTAATATAAAATACAAAGGTCAAAAGTTAGCATATCTTACTATTCCTAAAAACATGCAATAGGATCAGAATACGACATTGAGCATCATGCTAATACCAAATGTGCAAGTAATGTTAGGAATGTTCGAAGTTTGAATATTAATGATAGACTCTTGTATAACGTTCTTATTCATATTTTGATTCCTCGGGCCACTAATTATACAAAATTGTCGCATGAAGACATTTCATGTCATGAGCCTTAATATTTTGATTAATTGGTCATATCACATTATGTAACACATGATGAAATACATGAACAACAACGATCATATTTTATACGTCATTTTGATCAATCGCACCATGTCTGAGTATGATGTGGACTTAACTATGAATATGAGTGTCATCGTAGGTTAGACACATTAGTTCGATAAAATAACATTGAATAAATTGAATATTATTATTGTAAACGATGTATGACAGCGTGGAAAGGTAATCCAAGAGGATGACCATGAAGACCCTGCATTACTCGACGATGACGTGGTTGTCACTAGACCAAGAGACACTCCCACATTATTCTGAAATATTTTCACAATTTTGGAGTATAATTCAACAAATTTAATATGGATTAAGTACTCTCAACCTGATTGTTAATCAAGGTTTTAAGACAGTAAACTAAATAATTGATTAGTTGAAACGAAAATTTAAAGATTTTTAACAATATTTTAAATAAAAGTATACATGATTTATTTTATTTTGTCACAATATTATTGGAGTAACACTAGGTATTTATCTTATTTTATTAGGTTGCATTTTTTTAATTAAATATTCAACCATACACACATATTCATCACAAATAATTTATTCATAATTCATCTTATTATTAATAATAATAAATATAAATAATAATAATAACAATAATATTAATAATTATTAAGATAATAATTTTAATAATAATAATCATTTTTTATCTTACTAATTAAAATAAAAATAATTCAAATATTTATAATACTTTAAATTCTAATAATAATAATTTTCTTTAAAAAATAACTTTTAATCTCTCAATTTCTTTTATTACAATATTTTTTTATTTACATCAATCAAATCATTTATAATTTTTTATTTCATTTCTTTACCTTTACTACCATCATTACTTTTCTCCAAACAATTTTCCTCGTATCAATTTTTCTTCTCAAATCCTTTTTTTTCTTGCTCTCTGAAATCTATTCTCAAAATGTAATAATGAACATTGAGTTCATAAATGAAATAAATCTAATATATATATATATATATATATATATATATATATTAACTTTGATACTAAATTTAATTATTAAATACATAAAATTTCTTTATTTATATATTAAAATTAAAATTTATGTACAAATATTCAATTTATTATTTTATCATAAATGCACGTAACGATTCACGAACACCTCATTATACGTTATCATATTATGAAACTTTTCATATATGTTCAGTAAAAAATTTGAATTAATTATTTTATGGATAAATCTTAATGTTGATTAAATAAAATAAAATAAAAAAAAAGGAAGCGTGATTGATTGAAGTTGAAGAAGCAAAGAGAGAGAAGAAAGTGAAGACGTTGGAAGGAGAAAAAGGAAGCGAAAAAGAACGGAGTAACAGAGGAAATAGAAGACCGTATTTGCAACACGTGCATAAAACAGCCGTTAACTTAGCCATCCCAGGCCAGGCCGCAATCCAAACGCCGACTCCACCCATCCCAATTACCATTACCAATTTATGGGCCCCACCTCGCTTCCTTTTCTTTCTTTGTCTTTTTAATAATTTTTTTTCATTATTATTATTATTATTATTATTATTATAAATAAACAAATCTCACCCTTGCATCAAGTGTTCTATTGACACAGCACGAAACACACACATGACAGAACACGCAGCAACAACAACATAGCCCCAACTAAATGACACCCACAAAGACGGAGAGAAAGAGAGACGCCACTGCCTCTCTGCGTGGCTCGCTCGCGCAACCGTGAGGCAGAGAAACCCGGCTGGAATTCGCCTATCTTTTGTCTAAATTCGTAAGCAATTGTTCTTTTATTTTTAATAATAATAATATTTTTTTGGGGCCAGGGATTAGTTGATTTTTTTTCCTTGGCTTTCGAGCTTTTGTTGCGTTATTGTCTTTGTGTTATTTTGGTTTTTTTTTTCAGTCTTGGAGCTCGGAAAGGGGGAAAGTGTGTATGGGGTTGCTGCCAATGTAAATTAGAAGTGATCTTCTTTTGTTTTGTTTTTTTTTTCGTTTTCTTCTGTTGATTTGTTGGAGGGTGAGAAACTTTCGGCTTTGAGTTTGGACATGTGCGCTGTCATGTTGATTCTAGTCTTATGTTTTTAATTCGATTAATTCTTAAAATTTTACCCCCTTTTTATTAGATTTTTATGCCGATTCGCTTAATGAGATCTGGTTTATTTTTATGTGGTTTTAATTTTCTTTTGAAGTCTGGTTATCGTGTGTGATTGGCTGTTGTCAACGCTTTCATGTTTATAGTGTTGTTTCTGATCCGTGTGCATGCTCTAAATTTTGTGCCACATCATGATTGACCAAGAGGGGCTTTCTGAATCATGTGTAAACATTCAAATACGGGGTGAAGATTGTTAATATTTTTTATTTGGTTAGTTATTTGATTGATATTAGATGTGTTTGTTTGGGTATTATTTGTGGCTCATGGAAAATTGATGCTTGTGGGTTTGTGATTTTAGCTTAAATTTGGCATATGTTTACTGTAAGCATTTTTGTCATCGGTATAGTATTGTTATCCTAGTTAATGATTTTAATTTTGATGGATAAGAAACAAGACTTTTCTTTGTAACCAGATTGATTCTTTCCGTCGACATGTTGGAGGGTCCAACCTTTCTTGTTTCGAGGGACTTACCGAGCTCATGTGAGCAAGAGACCAGGTGGATTTACAATTCCTTCTGTGTGATGCAGCTCGCGAACAATAAGCGTCGACTGGAGCTAGAGGAAGAAGCTGTGCTGAGAAAGTCATGCAAGCTTTCAGATGTTCCTGAGGAAGGGGAAACAAAGAAGAACATGCAAGATCTTTCCCTATCCGTGAACCAAGCTAATGACCAAAATCATGCAAGTGACCAGTCAGACTCAAGTTCTCTTATCTACCAACTCGGTCGGGACATCTCAATTAATTGTCTCCTGCGATGCTCAAGGTCTGACTATGGTTCGCTTGCCTCATTGAACCAAAGTTTTCGATCTCTCATCCGGACTGGAGAGCTTTATAGGCTGAGGCGGCAGATGGGTATCATAGAGCATTGGGTTTACTTCTCTTGTAATCTCCCTGAATGGGAGGCATTTGATCCTAACACTAGTAGATGGATGCGCTTGCCTAGAATGCCTTCTAATGAATGCTTTATCTGTTCTGATAAGGAGTCATTGGCTGTTGGTACAGAGCTTCTTGTTTTTGGAAAGGAGATAATGTCTCCTGTCATATACAGATATAGCATTTTGATGAACGCATGGTCATCTGGTATGGAAATGAATGTTCCTAGATGCTTGTTTGGTTCTGCCAGCCTTGGAGAAGTTGCCATATTAGCTGGTGGTTGTGATCCACGTGGCAATATTTTGAGCTCCGCAGAGCTTTATAACTCCGAAACTGGAACGTGGGAGCTACTCCCAAACATGAATAAAGCTAGGAAAATGTGTTCTGGTGTATTTATAGATGGGAAATTTTATGTCATTGGAGGGATTGGAGTAGGTAACTCACGGCAGTTAACATGTGGTGAAGAGTTTGATCTGCAGACAAGAAAATGGAGAGAAATACCCAACATGTTCCCTAGGCGAAATGGAGGATCTGAGGTGACTGAGGTATCGGCTGCTGCTGAGGCACCTCCTTTGGTTGCAGTTGTAAATAATGTTTTGTATGCTGCAGATTATGCCCTACAAGAGGTAAGGAGATATGATAAAGACAATAATTCATGGGTCACTATTGGAAGATTACCTGACCGCATAGTCTCAATGAATGGCTGGGGATTAGCCTTTCGCGCATGTGGAAATCGTCTAATTGTTATTGGTGGGCCAAGAGCTTTAGATGGAAGGGTAATTGAGATCAATGCGTGTGTCCCCGGTGAAGGTGTGCCAGAGTGGAACCTGCTTGCTAGCAGGCAATCAGGAAGCTTTGTGTATAACTGCGCAGTGATGGGATGCTGATGGGTAAAGCTATATGGATTTCTTCTGAATGGAATTAACATTCTTCACTTTCAAGGAGAGATGATTCTGCTCATGGGTAATCCGCCCACTTTTTGGGGTAAATGTTTACTCCTATTTAGGGTAATAGATACAGTTTTAGAAGGTTCACAAATCAGAGTCTTATCATTTTAAGTTATCATGATGGTTTTCAAATGTTGGCACCATGAATGGTGAATAATTAGCTCTTGGTACATGTTGGGTTGCAATCACCTTTTTCATAAGTTCAATTGAAGCGTTTCAGAAGTGTAACTGGTCTCAGTTTTGTCTGTTCTGTTTTCTCTTATCCTTTTTAAATATGTATTCTAATTGTCTTCAGATGTTCCCAAACCCTTTGTGTTTCCTGAAATTCACCCCTTCCTGCCCAAGTTGCAGAAAAAATTGAGACATAAGGAATAACTTATTTTTGCTCTTTTGACTGTTGCTTTAGTAGGCATTTTGTATCAGATAGCTGTTCAATTGCATCATCCAAGCTCTATCATTCTGTTTGTCTCAGATTGAGACAAACAGAACTCAAACTAGGATATGTGTGCTTCTGCTCTGGTAAATCTAGGTCAATCAATGATATCGTTTTCAGTTTATTAGTCATAACATCCCCACAAATTATGGGTTGTAGAAAGCAAGTAAGATATTTTGGGGTTTTATTTCCGTTTTGCATTTGAACATTAATTAGCTAGGTGCGGGCTGACGAAGTTAGCCATAGGTCAGAGCACTTGCACACTTTAAAGATATAAAGCTGAGCATTGGAATGATATTATTTATATACAGATTGTGTTGCTAGAACTTATTTGATGATTTTCAATGGAGTTTGTGCGGATGATTGCATTGAATTTCAAAAATTAATATAATGCACAACATGGTTAGTAGGCACAAGAGTCAGATGTAGTTAGAAAATTTGAAGAGTTTTTGTCAACAATTGAAGCAAGCAAATTATAGTGTACTTCAACAATTTGGATGTAGATAGAACGGTCTTTGTTTTCAAATTAACAAACGAATTGATACTATTTGTCTATTATTAGCATCAACCAGAGAGAGAGTTACTGAATGGTGGTAAGTCAAGGATTATTAGAAAATTCAAGACCTAATCAATCTTCTGTGGAAATTTTACTTTTCAGTTCTAGGAACACTGAAAAATATATAAGGTTTGCTTCAATAAAGTTTTTTTATAAACATATTTCTAGGTAAAGAAAATAAAAACTATAGAAATAGATTTTTAAAAAATTAAAATTAGTTAATGTATAAGATAATATGTAGAATCTTTCTAGTATTGGATACTCTAAGAGTTAATTTTTAGTTTATATATAAACTAGTTTAATATGTTGTATAGTTTTCTTTTATAAGTATTTATGAAAAAATTGATTGAGAAAATCTGTTATTCAGTATGTTTGAGTGATGGTTGTTTTATAAATCAAGTAGCTTTTTGATTATGTATAACCTTTTATGTATGTAGGATTAAAAGCATGGAGAAAATCTCTGGCAGGTGTTGTTTCTTTGTTCACATCATAGTGGAAATATACTTATCATTGATCACGTAAATTTCTAAGTTGGATGATAATCTATGTTCATATTGGAATAAGCATTCTTTTAAGCTAATTAGTAGTTACATTAAAAATAAATGATGAAAAAATATGGTCTAATTGTTAAAGGCTTTTAACAGTCAACCAATGACAATGACAAAATTCATGTACACTTAGTTTTTATAATAATTGTTGTTAAAACCAGTTAATGATAATTTCTGATTAATAGTATAAAAAAGGGTTTATATCAGTGCTTGTTTGCAAATTCTGTAGAATTTGTTATCTATTAGTTGATAGTTGTTGATTTGCCAAGTTGGGGAATCAAGTATTTTTCTTGTTATATGAAGTGACAGAGGAAGGGTTTCACTAGCACAGCCATATCATATCTCACTTCCTTTTTTGCTTTTACCAGGTTGGATAATGTGTGGGGTGAGTGAGTTAGAAAATAATAAATATATAGTTGTTGGAGACAACACGGGAAGTACAAATTGTACAAAGCAACTATGCAAGTAATGGAAACAGATGGTGATGTGTGCCCCATCTACATGTGCACTGACCCATGATGAAACTGTTACAGTGACACGTGGGCAGGGGTAGTTGATATCATCTAATGCTCCGCTCATGTTCCAACCTTTTTCCTCTACCGTCGTACTCCTTTTGTATTTTGTACTTTACTATCTGGGGGTGTTGTTTCAGATTTTGTCTAGGCTCATTCTAATTTTTTTAAGACCAGCAAAATAAAACAAGAAGAATAATGAGAAGAAACATGCAAAACACATAAAAAGAAGAAGCAAATCTAGACATAACAAACCAAACCAACACCAAAATTGCATTATCGTTGGACTTCACCATGCCTCTTGGGTTCCGACAATGATTACATTAAAATATCACTTTAATACAATTTTAGGTACATTTTTACATGTTTGATTTCACCTTAACTAAATAATTAGATAGTTTTTGTATTGAATAAAAATATTTTGACAAAAATTATAGACTAAATTTTACTTTTAGACCTTAACTCGTCTTTTAAGTTTATTTTAGTCTCTTCATGTTTAACTTTTGAAAAGTTCAGTTTGGTTTTGTAAATTTTACAATAGTTCATTTTAGTTCTTTTCGTCAATGCTAACAAAAAAATGCTAGAAAAATTGATCTATCCACTATGAATTGTTCATTACTTTTTCATAATGAGAATATTTTGTTCAAAAGTCCACAAGTGACACAAATAATTGGGTTTTTCTTTATCAATATACAAGACATTGGAACAACTATTAACTCAAAAGAGAAGTTTTCGGAGTTGTAAGCAAGAACTTGTGATAAGGTGCTTCAGTATACTAATCTTAGAAAAAGGTAAGGCGTATTTTTTGCCATTTGGTGATATTTTTGTTGCAGAAAGAGACTGAAAGTAATGGTTGTTGAGTTTGTGTTGATGCATCTAGTTGGGTTTGGGTTTGGGTTTGGGTTGGTGTAGGCAATTGTTTCTAGTTTCATGCATCTAGTTTTCGATGTTTTCGTATTTGTCTGACTTTGGTTTGCTGGAGAGGGGTATCTTCTAGAAAAGGAGAAGACTTCAATGAATAGTGACTTCTCATAGGGAGGGTATCCCTTTTAACCTATCCAACTACATTAGTGACTCTCTCAATAGTTGTTTTCCATTTAAAAAGAATGAAATTATCAACACGAAAATAATTAAGCAACGCACATGGTAGAAGTGAACACCTAACAACCATATCTTGACCACTACAACATGTAATGATGGGTTTTTTGGAAAACATTTGTAAAACTAACTAAAATTCAATACAATTAAATGAATTACAACTAAGAAATAGAAGCAACACTAACATATAATAATGAAAAATTGAATCAAGAGTGAGAAAGAGATAGAGATGGATAGATGTTTCACTAAATTATTATTTTTATATATTTTATCACTTAATATGATTGATTTATTTTTATTTAAAAGATCATTTTTATATGTGGTCTTTTAGGAGTGAATTGGTAATTTTGTTAAGGAGTTATTCTAACTTTTCTCTCATGATATTTTTTTTCACATGGAGATCTCTTATTTTCTTCTAATTTTTCACTTTTTTTATTTGTTGTTAGGCTCGTTACATTGTCCCCAAGGTTGAATATTGAAAAAGTCACTTCCAAAGTGTTGTGATCCTCCCACGTTACTTGAGTAGTTTCTAATCATTCCCATTTGATCAAATGTTCTTGAGCCTATGTATGACCTTTAAGAATCACCTTTGAATGTAGAATATTTGCTGGTTACAACACTTATTCATATTTGCTAAACATATCATTCTTCCCTTTACTACAAATTTTTAGTTGGAAACATGAAAGACTAGATAAATTCTAACCTTCTATGGTAAAAACTAATAGAAATAAAGATCAAATCCATGATTTTGATAATAACAAATATAATTAAGTTTTGGAGTATTTAACATGTGTTAAGTGTGCTACAAGAAATAAATTAATAATCTCAAATTGGGTCAATTGAGTATGCAAAATAATTATGCATTATCAAGTGAAATTTCGAAATATATATATGCGATTATATGTTGATTAAATCATAATATGAAAAATAAAGAAAATTACATAGAAAAATAAATATGCACCGAGTCAAAATTTAGATATTATCCTAGATGGAAATATACTATAACAAAAATAAAGCAAAATACAACAAATAATATTAAGATTTTCCAAAAGAAGATGAAATATATTCAAGTATATTAGATTTTTTTTCAAGATACACAAAAGGAAATATTTTTCTCCAACTGTCATATTTACGTAAAGAAAAGAAACATACAATACATTGTAAATACTTACAAGGAAATTATTTGAACTAGACAATTAAAGAATATCCAAATATATTAAAAGAAGATTTATGTAAAGAAGAAATGAATAAATATTTCCAAAAAATAATAAAGGCTAAGGATTTTACAATCACATCTTGAAACATATAAAAGGAGGAGTTCACTGACTAAAGAAATCATAACGTAATAACTACAATACAATTTTATTAGCGTCTTATTCTCATTAATAAGTGTTTTCTTTTACAAGATTTAAGAGAGAAGAAGTTATTGTTATATTATTCACCTAATGAAGTAAATCCTTAGTTAAGAGTGATCATTTTTTATCCTCTTTGTGAGAGCTATTTCAGTACACAGAGAGAAACCATTGTCATATCCTTTACCCAATGAAGTAAACCCTTAATTGAGAATATAAATTGTTTATCCTCTCTATGAGAGTTATTTTCGTGATTTTAATATTTAAAATCATTCTTGTAACTAGGAGTGACAACAAATAATACTCGTGCTTTCAGTCTAAGGAGGAGATTAAGATTGATAGCAAATAGTGGTTTGGTGTACTCGTTGATAGCCATGAGTGACAACAAATAATACTTGTGCTTTAGTTTTAGGAGGAGATTAAGGTTGATAGCTAGGAGTG